ATTTGTTGTGTCTCCCAAAATGCGTAATAAACATGCTTTTAGTCCCAGTGTCCTCATATGAGGACATATATGAAATCAACCTCCTGTTTCGTAACCCCATAACATTTTCCTGAGATGTTGATTTATGACACACAGTTCAAAAATTAGTCAGATTTAAATGATAATTACAAAATATTATCATATTTCCATAAGAGTGTCACTAAATTAATATCTGACATATTTGAAGACCAAGGAGAGAGAGGGATCATGGTGAAACATCCAAACATTTAGTATCTCTGAAAAGCCCTGAATGTGCTCTGTACAGGACATCCAGACTTAAACTGTGGCATGTATAATCTCAGAGAAATACACCAAAATATAATGTCCTCATATGAGGATGCAGGGTCTCAGGAGGTTAAGACTGGTTTTGTTGTCCAGGGTCACATTTTTGCTTAGTTTGGGCCTCTGAATGAGGTGTTTTTTCCTCCATATTCTGATTATATCATATAGTGAGCAATAAAAGACTGATGTATCAAACACGATACGCAACAACAAAGAGTTTTTCTCTAAAGGTTAAATAAACACTTAAATTTTTTATGTCATTTCGTATGTCAGGCTTACGGTGTTAAATGGATTGAAGGGATATTTTTCATGTTCCACATGAGAAAAAAAATCATAAACAGTAGGTTTGGAATGACATGAAGTTGAGTTGTTTTGGGTGAATTATCCCTTTAACATTGGATTTCTATCAGTATCCGGCATGTTTTATGTCTTACCTAGTCCTCCAGGCAGGGTTTTAACTACTGGTTTGAGTTGTGCGATTTCTAACGCCTCCCACAGCATGCTGTCTGTAGCCTTCATCTCTGGATCTAGATTAAAACTGAACAGAAGTAGACGAGGTACTGTAAAACTTCATTATAATTTCAGCTTGCCCTAGAAATCCTTCAGTTCTTCAGTCCCATACTGATGTGTGATGAGGCTTTTAAAAACACTGAAACAGAACAAAAATGAGTTCACTCTGCTGTTGCTACGGTACATTTAGAATGAAAATAGCAGTGATAAATAATATGTCAATGCTTATTTATGCTTGTCTGTCTTCCATTCATAATGTACATAGGTCGTTTGTGAAATCATATCTCATGTATCAAATTCAAACCGATTATGTTGTTCAAATGTAAATGAGTTTTTAATTTAAATGAACAAAATTCTATTGTCTAGGATACTGTGTCAATATCATTGACTCCTGCAGTATTCGGTTTCATGAGACGCACCGGATGGTTCCGCTGAATAAGAAGGGATCTTGCAGAATAATAGAGAAGCGCGACCTCAGCGTCTGAAGGGGCAGCTTTGCTATATCGATGTCATCGATGATTATTCGCCCTGTTAAATCATACAGACTTAAAATCCATGCCATATATCATACATACTCTGTCATTTACATTACATTAGCTTCAACTAGAAAAATGAGTCACCTTCAAATGTGTCCACCATCCGGAAAAAGGCTAATGAGAAAGACGACTTGCCACTTCCTGTTCTACCACAGATTCCAACCTATAACAGATCAAAACAACAAAGGATTTTTTTTAGTTAACCTTTATTTATAATACATATTTTATATTTTAATATTAATAATTGTGTAATATTACAATATTTATTATAAATTAATTTAATTGGTTTTTAAAAAATATTTTAGAAGAGTATATCTTAAATTAATATGAAGTATGAATAATCTATACAAATTATGTTTCAGATTTTTAATATTTTATAATATTCATTGAATAAAGTAATGAAATGTAAAAAACAGCATTGCATATTTGACTATAAATTAAAGATTAATCTTTATTAAAGTTACAAAAGCTATTCAATCAAGAGCAGTGAGTGATTTCTTTGTTGTTGTGGTTTGATTAATATTAAGAAAGTGCTGTCACTTTAAGAGAATGCACTGATACAGTACATTCAGCTGGCTATGTCTGCTATAGGATACTTACCAAGACGGGCATTTTGACATAATTTTAGTGTGAATTTGTCCATTTAAACACAATACTTCAGAGAGACCTTAATATTTGCGCGCGTTCTGAGGCGCGGGTTTGCTTCAGATGAGCGCACGCACAAATCAACTCACTGCGCACGCGAGCTCGCGTCCTCTGGCTCTTAAATGTTTAAACTGGCAAAGATTAAACGAGTTTAGTTTAAACACAGATATCAACGTGGTGATAAATGACTGCTCATATTCCAGCATAAGGCATTCGCATTGAACAAGGGTGAATGGTTTTCCACGTTTTTTTTTTTTTCATCGCTGTTGTTGTAATGTATTGGGAAGCCAGAATGCGCATCCATCAACAGAAACATATATTA